GAGAGAGAAACATCGACGTGAAAGGGACACATCGAGTGGTTGCCACCTGCACCACCCAACCAGGGCCAGGGACAAACTGCAACCGAAATAGTGCCCTTAGCGGGAACTGAACCCGGGTCTCTCTGTACCGGAGGCCGACACTCTAACTGCTGAGCCAAACCAGCCAGGGCGAGCCAGTAATAAATTTGAGTAATAAAGGCCTTTGAACGCTAACACCTAGGGAACCCGAATTTGACACCTGATGAGAGGAAAAGTCCAGTGAAGTAAGTGCAGATATTTCTGTGATTACAACCAGCATTTAGCTGAACCTTGTTTTATCCAATCAGACAATCTTTTAGAGTGTTCAGTCTGTTTACATTTAATATAATTGCTAATAAGTGGGCTTTAAATCTACCATCTATGACTACAGGTAAGTAAGAATTTAAATTTAAGCCAGAATTGCCCTGGTCGGTGTGGCTCAGTTGGTTGTAGTGTTGTCCTGTATGCCAAAAGGTGGTGGGTTGATTTCTAGTCAGGGCACATACTCAGGTTGCAGACTCAATCTCCGGTTAGGGTGTGTATGGGAGGCAACCGATTGATGTTTCTCTTACACTGATGTTTCTCTTTTTTCTCTGTCTCCCTTTCTCTCTCTAAAATTACTTTTTAAAAAATAAATAAAAAATAAATTTAAGCCAGAATTTACCTTACACTATGGCTTCAGCCTGCTCATTATCAGCCATCACAACAAACATAGGGGGTTGCCAGGTGGCCAGAAAGGGCATTGGTTTTTCATCCTGTATTGTTAGAGGGGTGGGAGGAGCTGGGTCTCTGGCTGCACTTCAATAGGTGCAATTCCAGGTTTATCCTGTGTATTAGGGATTGATTCTGTGAAAGACTGTGAAAACAGGGTTCTGGGGTTACAAAGTTTGAATTCCAAAGTCTTTTCTGTAACTTGAATATTTTATTCCAAGTTCCAGAGCTCTATATTTAATTTTGGTTTAATGTTTTCAAAAAAGTAATCTAATGATCTGTTCTAAGAGTATAGTCTATCTGAAGTATCACTTTAGAGTAGTTATTCCACTTTCTGCTGCAGTATTGCTTTGCCATCCTCCCCTCTTAGCAAAGCTGACATATTAAATGCCCTCTGTTATGTAAATAACTCTGTTATGTTAAAAAAAAAAAAAAAAGGATATGGACTACAAACTAAGGCTGACCACCCTAGAACCAGACTCTAGGCAATGCTCCAGTTCTGGACAGTTTGAGCTGAAAATAACTAAGATTTCCCTGGCCTCAGGAACTGGAACAGCTGAGTCTTAGAGGCTAAACTGGGAAAGGGCAGAGGTAATGCACTAAGGAATCCCATGCAAGTCTTGACATTGGAGACAGCAAATCTAAGTTTAAAATGGGCAGCTTTCCATCTTGGGGCCACTGTTGACTCCAGATGGTATACAGGAAATCACTTTCAGGTTACCTTTCCAGGTGCAGGTGTTGAGGCATTTTTTTTTGGTGTTCCAGACTTTTGTGGTTATCACAAGGTACCCTACTCATTTTGCAGTGTAAGTCTAAAGCACATTAGCATTACTGACTTTCTGCTTCTTTCCAGGACACACGTATTTTCCTAAGGCAAAGCATGGTTTCATTATATTGCATTATGCAGCCTTCTGGGCTAATGGGCAGACTAACCTCAAAATGTGCTTGGCCATAAAAGCAGCACAGAATCAAAATGGAGGTAGGAGTGACTGACAGGGCAGTCCAGAGAAAAACTAGGCAATGGGAGCACGGGTTGGGGAATAAAAGCTTCTGACTTCACAAGTATCTTATCCCTAAGTGACTACAGAAGATTAGCAGTTTAGGGTCAGTTCCAGCTCTACCATTTACTGGTTGTGTGAATCTGAGTAAATTAATGCCTCCATCATTTATAATCTGTAGCACCTACCCGATGTGCGAATGAAGTGAGAGACAGCAGGAGAGATGCTTCACACAGTGGTTACAGCAGCCCTAGTTTTTCACAGTGGGTAGGTAAGGCCACAGTAAGTCTAAATGGTGGCCAAAGTGCATTTTTTAAAAATATTTTTTTCTTTATTGATTTTAAAGAAAGAGGGAGAGATAGAAACACCGCTGAGAACATGATTGGCCGCCGCCTGTATGCTCCCCACTGGGGATCAGGCCCACAACCTGGGCATGCGCCCTGACCAGGAATCCAGCCAGCAACCTCTTGGTGCATGGGTCAGCGCTCAACCACTGAGCCACACTGGCCAGGCCAAAGTTCATTTTTAAAGAACTCCAAGGATCAAATACTTCAAATGCAAGCTAGACATAAAATTGGGAGCTATTGTTGGTAAATCTCCAAGTCCTTCCTTCTCTATGAGACTTGGTCACATACCTTTAGGAATGTCTTTACTCAGTCCCCTTCCTTTTATTTACCAGAACTCTAATTTGGACATAGTTTTCAGTTTGGATTGTTGTAAAAGCCTTCTAGGTTTTGGCCTCCCTAACTGCCAGACTTTTTATCAAAAAAAAAGCAAAACAGCCCTGGCTGGGTTTCTCAGTGGTTAGAGCGTCGGCCTGCGGTCTAGAGAGACCCGGGTTTGGTTCCCGCCAAGGGCGCGTACCTCGGCTGCAGTTTGTCCCCAGCCCTGGTCGGTTGTGCGGGAGGCAGCCACTTGACGTGTCCCTTTCACATCGATGTTTCGCGCTCTCTTCCTCTCTCTCCCTCCCACGCTATCTGAACAAAAAATGGAAAAAAAAAAAAGTCCTCAGGTGAGGATAAAAAAAAAAAAAGAAAAAAAATTTGCTCAAAAATTTATCCAAGGGGGTCCCTATGCCTAATGAGTAAGGTCTGAATTTCTGACCTTCACATACAAAGCTATTGACTTAAACTGATTTTCCAAGTCTCTTACTTGTCACTACCAACTCTTCAATCTAACAAACACACTATTCCCCTAACACACCAGGGTCTTTTAAAGCCTTCATACCTTCATCATTCTTTTTCCTATTCAATCTTCAAGGCTTAATTAAAAATTTACCTCTTCAGCCCTGGCCGGTTTGGCTCAGCGGTTAGAGCATCCGCCTGCGGTCCGGAGAGACCCGGGTTCGGTTCCCGCTAAGGGCATGTACCTCGGTTGCAGCTTGTCCCCGGCCCTGGTTGGTCGTGCGGGTGGCAGCCACTCGATGTGTCCCTTTCACATCGATGTTTCCCTCTCTCTCTTCCTCTCTCTCCCTCCCACTCTGTCTGTACAAAAAATGGAAGAATGTCCTCGGATGAGGATAAAAAAAAAAAAAAAAAAAAAAAATTTACCTCTTCAGTGAAGCCTACCCAGTTCCCTGAAACTGTCTTTTCCTTCTTCCTTTATTGATTTTAGACAGAGAGAGGGAGAGAAACATCGATGAGAAAGAAAGAACATCAGTTGGCTGCCTCCTGCATGCCCCCCACTGGGGATCTGGCTCACAACCTGGGCATATGCTCTGACCAGGAATAGAACCGGTGATCTCTTGGTGCATGGGTCAAAGCTCAACCACTGAGCCACACTGGCCAGGCGCATTTTATTTCTTTACATCTGCCTTTCCCAGACATACTCTTCTTCTTTTTTTTTTAATTACTGTTTTTAGAGAGAAAGGGGGTGGGGAAGAAAGAGAAAGGCAAAGAAACATTGATTTGTTGTCCACTTATTTATGCATTCACTGGTTGATTCTTGTATGTGCCCTGATCGATGATTGAACCTGCAACCTCAAGACAAACTTATTGGGATGATGCTCTAATCACCAAGTCAGGGCCCATACTCTTCTATTTCAAACATTTTTCTATCTGCTCCACTGTTATTACTTAAAGTGGCTGTGGTGATAATACATTTTAAAAGTACTTTGTAAAACTGTAAGGTGTAAGGGATTACACCATTACTATACTGATTTGAAAGAGAAATGGGAGGACTGAAGCAGGAAGTGACATTGCCTCTTTCCTTTTACCAGTTCAAAGTCTGAACAGGGTCTGACCTATTGCAGCCATTATATGAAAGATAACCAGCTTGTATAACGGCTTTAAACAAGACTGATTAGCCCTGAGCAGTTCACCCAAGTAAATATCAAACATGAGGAGAAACCACAAGATCTGTTACAGTTAAAAGATATCTATAAAAAGTTTTACTTTTTTCTGTAATTTTTAATACAAGACAGCTAAAGTCTTAAACAGCTGATCCTATTAGAAACAAAACAGGGCATAGCATGGATTTTCAGAAACAAGAATGTAAGAATGTGTCTTTTTTTTTTTTTTTTGCATTTAGACTTTTCAGTACTATGCAATGATTATCAATTCGCCAAGGACAGTAACAGTCAGATACTGGAGAAAAGGAGGTATGAGAAACATCTTTTATTTTTTTCTAAAGAGGTGAAAATATGTAAGATCTCTTATATTTCTCACTCATAAGATTTTTTAACTCTTAAAAATGCAATTTCCTTTTTTCAAAGCACATGCCATCTTAAAAAAAAAATCTTAGCAATGTACATTTGCACTCAAAGAAAAACATGCAGCACCATTGTCTTCTGACAAAATTCTGCATAAAATCCACACAACTTTTTGCAAATTATGTTCCCTCTTTATCATTTAGGAACTCCAAACCACAAACATTCAGTGCAATATTTATTGTTTCTTATTTCCGTAGGAAACACAGGACCAGTGATGTCTTCTGAGCACAACTGTTTCCTGATAGTTGAGCAACAGTCTCCCTCTGCCTGGTTTTAAAGTACTCTCTTTAACTTGCTGATGTAAGGTACAACTAGAATTCAGTAAAACTTGAGGATCCAAGTGGAGGATGGAGGAGAAATACTTAAGGTGTACCCTGTGCCATAAACTTAGAAAAAAAAATTTATACAGAAAACAATAAAAACCTCAGATTTCATCAATGCACCCTTTAAAAAAATTTTTTTTTAATTTCTGAAAGCAGCTTAATATGAATCAAAAGCAGTTCCTGAGTAACTGCAGTAAACAGTGTCTTTTTAAAATATATATTTATATTTATATATATATATTTGCAACTTAGCTCATTTTGGTTCTGCCTTAATTTACCTCCCCAGCTTTCAGTTCAATCAGTTCCTTTCATTTCAGTTCACAATGTGCAAGTACAATAGCATCAGCTCCGAGAGTTGGCATAGTGCAGACGTTTCTTGTCACTTCTGCATGATCAGCTGCATGTCTGTCAGGCCAGGTTTCCAGAGTCACTGCAGGTCACAGTTCTCTCAATCTCACAAAAGCTGTGAGAGCCACAGACTCCTCACGTTTTCTTCAGCAGACGCCGTGACTGCCACGTGTGGAGCTTGTTGTAGGCTGTCTGGAGCATCTCTTCTATGTGACTCACCAACTGAAAAACATAGCAGGACACTTAAACCACCAGGCAAAGGCTGGGGACGTTAATGTTTCTGATTCAGATCTGGTGTGTACTTCAGAGTGCAGTTTCCAAGTTCACTTAAATTTCCCCAAGGCAACATGCAAGCCCTTTGTGACGGTGTTATTAGAAACATTTTGTACAGAAAGGTAAGAAATATGGCGGGGACAACCACATCAAAGTTACAACTAAACTACAGAGCGACTATCATTCAAAACTGCCTGAAATCAAACTGAATAGAAGTCCTACAACTACGCAATTAAAGAAGAAACCACATCGAGACAGGTAGGAGGGGTGGAGGCTGACTGGCTGGTCCCACATCCACGTGTGGCGGATAAAAATCAGGAGGCTACCTTGGCTGGGAAGGTCCTCTCTGAGGACTGAGGGGGTCCCTGTCCCACACCAGGTGCCCAGCTCAGGGTTCCAGTGCCAGGAAGAGAAGTCCCCATCACTTCTGGCTGGAAAAACCAGCAGGAACTTAGGCATAGGGATGCTGAGGTGGCTGGAGCCCCAGGCAGCTCCTCTTAAAGGGCCCGCGCATGGACTTATCGGATTTTCTACCTCTAGGCTTGGAGGGGAGCCAGCTCGAGGGGCACCAGAGACATACAGGAAAGAACTGAGCTGTTTGGCACTGGAGCGAGGGCTGGAGAGGGGGCTTTCTCCAGGACGGACGTGCTGTCGGAGGCTTTTGTTCCTTTGGTGAGCCCTGCCCTGGCAGACAGTCGCCATATCTGGGACTCCAGCAACCTGGCTCACACTGGTTGCCCTGCCCTGGTGATTCCCTGAGGCCCCGCCCCACCCAACTTTCAGGCCTACCCAAGCTGTTGCCAGTTGCTTTACCATAGGATTTGCCTGTCTTGGATGCTGCTTCAGGTTTTCCTAAATTCTTTCAAACAAGCAGCATCTGGTCTCAGCTAGCCCCATACCTCTCGTTAATACATAGAAACAAACACAGGGAGGCAGCCAAAATGAGGAGACAAAGAAACAGGTCCCAAATGAAAGAACAGAAAAAATCTCCAGGAAAAGAACTAAGCAAAATGGAGATAAGCAACCTAACAGATGCTGAGTTCAAAACACTGCTTATAAGGATGCTCAATGAACTTAGTGAGAACCTCAGTGAACTTAGTGAGGACCTCAAGAGCATAAAAAAAGACCAGTCAGAAATGAAGGATGCACAGTCAGAAATGAGGGAGGCACTAACTGAAATAAAGAATAATTTACACAGATTCAATAGTAGAGTAGGTAAAGCCAAGAAGCAAACCACTGATTTGGAATCTAAGGAAGCAAAAAACACCCAATCAGAACAGCAAAAAGAAAAAAGAAACCCCCAAAATGAGGATAGTGTAAGGAGCCTCTGGGACAACTTCAAGCGTGCCAACATTCGCATCTTGGGGGTGCCAGAAGGAGAAGAGAGAGAACAAGAAATCGAAAACCTATTGGAAACAATAATGGCAGAAAAATTCCCTAACTTGGTGAAGGAAACAGACATACAAGTCCAGGAAGCACAGAGTCCCGAACAAGATGAACCCCAAGAGGCCCACACCGAGACACATCACCATCAAAATGCAAAAGGTTCAAGACAAAGAGAGAATCTTAAAAGCAGCAAGAGAAAAGCAGTTAGTTACCTACAAGGGAGTTTCCATAAGACGGTCAACTGATTTCTGAAAGAAACTTGCAGGCCAGAAGGGAGTGGCAAGAAATATTCAGAGTGATGAAAAGCAAGAACCTACAACCAAGGTTACTCTATCCTGCAAAGCTGTCATTTAGAATCGATGGCCATATAAAGACTTTCCCAGACAAGAAAAAGCTAAAGGAGTTCATCACCACCTTATATGAAATGTTGAAGGGTCTTTTTGAAGAAAAAGATAAAATATATGAACAAACAAAATGGTAATGAATATATATCTATCGGCAATGGAATCTACAAAATGAACAAGCAGAACAGAAACATTCTCATAGATACAGAGAACATTTTGTTGGTTGCCAGATGGGAGGGGGTTTTCGGGAATGGGTGAAAAAGGTGAAGGGATTAAGAAGAACAGATTGGTTGCTAGAATGACAAACCTCAAAGAGAAGGGGGTTGGCGGATGGAAGAAATAAACCAAAGAACTTATATGAATAACCAATGGACACAGACAACAGTGTGGGAAAACGCAGGAGGGGGGCGGGAGTGGGGAGGAGGGTGTCAATGGGGGAAAAATGAGGAACATCTGTAATACATTCAACAATAAAGATTAAAAAAAAAAAAAAGAAATATGGTGGGGTACTGTAAGGTTGGAAATTTACCTTCTCTGTCTGGGTTGTAATGTCTGTCCTGTCATTAACCAATTATAGGACAACATGAAAGTCATAACTGTGCTCTAAGCCTCAGTTTCTTCTGTCAAATGAGGGAGGTGAACAGTTAAACCGATGATTTCTAGATTTGAACACTAGTCTGTTGACTAAGTCCAGAAATGGTGGCATACACACGACTTTACAGAACATCTGAAAACGCCTCACTCCCCTAAAGATTCTGATGTAGCAGTTCTGAGATAAGACCAAAGAGTCTTTGATATTCAACTGTTTCTGCAGTTAATTCTTATGCACAGCCAATCTTGTGAAGCACTTTTCTATGTTCTCTAGGGCCGTTCCAGCTTCAACATTTCAGGATTCCAATATAACTCAATAGATTACAGAAAATCTAAATGATTTCAAGGATTCACACAGGTACTATGTCACAGCTTAGGTTAGCACTATATATCTTGAGTAGAAAAAAAAATTTTCCCTCATCATGGACATAACTAGAAGTCAACAGGACTACATCAGTCTAGGCTGATAAATACTTCTGAGGTATAATGTCTTTGAAATATGTTTCCTTGGAGGTGGACAGTTTTTATGTGGTTGCAAGTAAATGTCTTGTAGAATCTCCAAGTCAATTCTGGTAGTATAGGGATAAAAATGAGGAAGCCCTAAATCCTTCTAGCATGGTAATGACTTAGATCCAATCTGAGACAGAGTTAAAAAAAAAACACAAAACACCTTATTTAAATGTTATCATTATGTGTGTGTGATGTTATTTAGTTCTGTCTGGAACTAAAATAATATAAAAAGCATCCTTGTCCTGCCCTGGCTGGTTTGGCTCAGCGGTTAGAGTGTCGGATGGTCCTCGGACCAAAGCGTCCCGGGTTTGAGTCTGGTTAAAGACACGTACATCAGTTGCAGTTCATCCCTGGCCATGGTCGTGGTAGTGCGCAAGGCAACTAGTCAATGTGTCCCTTTCACATGGATGTTTCTCTCCCTCCCTCCCACTCTATCTGAAGATAAATACAAAAATATCCTCGGGTGAGGATTAAAAGAAAAAGAAAAATCATCCCTGTCCTGCTGCAGGAAGACACTTTAAGCTGCTTTTCTGACCACACTGTTATATTTTGAGAAAAAACACTGTTTAGGGTATAAAGACTTAATAATCCTCCTTTTTGATTATCCTACTTAATGAAATACTGAATCCTAAATTTGTAAATACAGTACTATTCTTTCCCATCATCTCCGAGAGGATTTGCATCACATGCACAAATACAACCTTGTGTGGTTGTTCTAGCCTTGCATTAAAAACAAAGCTAGCTCGGCGGTGTGGCTCAGTGGTTGAACATAGACCCATGCACCAAGAGGTCACTGGTTCAATTCCCAGTCAGGGCACATGCCCAGGATGTGGGCGCAATCCCCAGTGGGGTGCATGTAGGAGGCAGCCAACTGATGTTCTCTCTCATCAATGTTTCCATTTCTCTCTTCCTCTCCCTTCCTCTCTAAAATCAATAAAAAAAAAACAAACCAAAAAAACCAAGATAGCTCTGGCTGGTTTGTATCATCGGTTAGAGTGTCGACCCTTGGATTAAAGATTCTTGGGGTTGTATTCCGGTCAAGGGCATATACCTAGGTTGCAGGTTTGATCCCTGGTCAGGGTTGTATGGAAGGCAACCAATCAATGTGTCTCTCTCACATTGATATTTCTCCCCTTCATCTTCCTCCCTTTTACAATACCTAAAATCAGTGGAAAACATAATATCCTTGGGTGAGGATTAACAACAACAAAACAAAACAAAACACAAAGCTAAAAATCCAGGGAACAAAATGACACTTTCACTTAGTACCTCATTCAGTGCCCCACCGTGATGTAAACAATCAGGGAAGTTCAGACAGAGCACAATCCAGAAACTGTTCAGTTTACTATAAAAAAATGGCAATTCTGCCTTTCTTGCATTGCTAGGTTTGTGGTTACTACTCAGGTTTTCAAAATAAGTATTTTTTAGGAACACACACATAGGTTGTAAATCTATAAATAAAAGCATGAAGATGATTATTAGAAATGCCTCATTAGTCATGGAATTGGAGAGAGTGAGGGAGGGGTAAGTAACTGAACAGGCTCTCAGAGAATACCTATGGGTACTAAAAAAAAATGTTCTATTTGTTGCTGTGACTGGTAAGTACACAGATATTTATTCCTTTACAGTCACAAAACAGTACTCTGAACAAGAGGGAAAAAAACCCCCCAATGTATCTACTAATTTACATGAAAATAAAGTCTCACCATTTTACTACATAGAAAAAGAAAATCAGGCCAAAATTAGATTGTTGCCTTACGTTTGTGCTTAAATACTGTCTTCGAATTTTTTCTTGGAATGGGCAGAGCTTTGTCACCTGGAATCGTTCCAAATTACTTTTCATTTTCACTACCTAAAAAAGGTGAGAGAAATAATGAATTACAGAGAAATCTCAAAGCACCTATAGAGATCAAGAAAAAAATAAGACATAGGAAGGTTACTTTATTCATCTTCCAGTCATTAAATACTCACACAAGTAATTTATTTTTTAAAATTTATTATTTTTATTTAAATTTTTTTCTTTATTGGCTTTAGAGAGAAAGGAAGTGAGAGGGAGAGAGAAACATCGATTGGCCACCTCCTACATGTCCCCTACTGGGGATTTGGCCCACAACATGGGCATATGCCCAGACCAGGAATCAAACTGGCGGCCTCTTTGGTGCATGGGTCGATGCTCAACCACTGAGCCACACTGGCTGGGCTCACACAAGTCATTAAAAAATATATATATAGTATTTTAGTGTATGGCTAAATATTTATATACAATCTTAATTATGGAGATAGATTAAATTTCTAAATGTTGAATTTATAGGTCAAAGAATTTATTGCAGTTCTTTGATTTATTTCATCCCACTCTTCCTCCCCCCTTTCCCTTGAGATTCATCAGTCTAAAATCCAATTTGTACTTCTTAATTCCTTCATCTTTTTCACCCATACCCCCAGTCCCTGCCCATCTGTCAAGCAACCAAAAAGTTCTCTGTATCTATGAGTGTTTCTGTCCTGCTTGCTTATTTTGTTTGTAGATTCAATTGTTAATAGATATATATTAATTGACATTTTATTGTTCATATTTTGTTCTTCTTTTCCTTCAAAAAGACCCTTCAACATTTCATATAATACTGGTTTGGTGGTGATGAATTCCTTCAGCGTTTTCTTGTCTGGGAAATTTTTTTTTTTTTTTTTTTTTATCCTCACCCGAGGACATTTTTCCATTTTTTGTTCAGATAGAGCGGGAGGGAGAGAGAGGAAGAGAGAGCGAGAGAAACATCGATGTGAAAGGACACATCGAGTGGCTGCCACCCGCACGACCAACCAGGGCCGGGGACAAACTGCAACCGAGGTACGTGCCCTTAGCGGGAACCGAACCCGGGTCTCTCTGTACCGCAGGCCGACGCTCTAACCGCTGAGCCAAACCGGCCAGGGCTGGGAAATTCTTGATATGTCCATTGATTCTAAATGTTAGTTTTGCAGGGTAGAGTGATCTTGGTTGTAGGTTGTTGCTTTTCATCACCTTGAATATCTCTTGCCACTCCTTTCTGGTCTGCAAAGTTTCTTTTGAGAAATCAGCTAACAGTCTTATGGGAGCTCCTTTGTAGGCAACAAACTGCTTTTCTCTTCCTGCTTTTAAGTTGTGGTTTGGTCCTTGGACCTGGTGGGGGTTATGTGGGAGGCAACCAATCGATGTCTCTCTCTCTCTCATTGATGCTCCCCACTGCCACCTGAAGATATATGGAAAGGTATCCCCTCAAGTGAGAATTTAAAAAATAAAATTAGCCCTGGCCGGTTTGGCTCAGCGGTTGGAGCGTCGGCCTGCGGTACAGAGAGACCCGGGTTCGGTTCCCGCTAAGGGCACGTACCTCGGTTGCAGTTTGTCCCCAGCCCTGGTTGGTCGTGTGGGTGGCAGCCACTCGATGTGTCCCTTCACGTCGATGTTTCTCTCTCTCTCTCTCTCCCCCCCTTTCTTTCCCTCCCGCTCTATCTGAACAAAAAATGGAAAAAATGTCCTCGGGTGAGGATAAAAATAAATAAATAAATAAAATGTATTAAAAAAAATAAAAAATTAAATTAAATTATTTAGCCTATTATTATGTTTTTAAACCTCACCCGAGGATAATTTTCTATTGTCTTTTATAGACAGAGCGGGAGGGAGGAAGGGGGTTGGAGAAAAACACTGATGTGAGAAAGACGCATCGATTGGTTGCCTCCTGCACAACCCTGACTGGGGCCAGGGACCAAACCTGCAACCCAGTTATGTGCCCTTGACCAGGAATCGAACCCGTGACTCTTTGTTCTGTGGGTTGATGGTCTACCCACTGAACCAAACTGGTCAGGGCACCTTTTGCCTATTGTTTTTTAAAAAGTTTTTTTTATTTTTATTTTTTTCTCTTTACTGATTTGAGAGAGATAGAAACATCGATGAGAGAGAGAACATCCACGGGCCACCTCCTGCATGCCCAAGCTACACCGGCCAGACTTACCTATTATTATTATTATTTTTTAGTATACGCTAGTGGAAACTGAACCCGGGACTCTCTGGTCTGCAGGCTGACGCTCCAACTGTTGAACCAAACCAGCCAGGGCTTGCCTATTATTTTTAATGAGACATTTGTCTTTCTCTTAAAAATCATTTATGTCCGGCCAGTGTGGCTCAGTGGTTGAGCGTCAACCCATGCACCAAGAGGTCACGGGTTCGATTCCCAGTCAGGACACATACCCAGGTTATGGGCCTGATCCCCAGTGTGGGGCATGCAGAGGCGCTCAATCAATGTTCTCTCTCATCGATGCTTCTATCTCTCCCTCTCACTTCCTCTCGCTAAAATCAGTAAAGGAAAAAACAATTGTTTATAAGAGCAATCTATATAGCGAAGCTATATACTACTAATACTATACTTTTCTATTTGTCAACTATTCTTTAATTGGTTAAGAGGGTTTTAGTGTTAAATAGCTAGTGCTATATTTGTCATCAATCTCAGTTGAGATTTCATTACCCCTAAAAAGTGTACCAAATAAATAAATTTATTAATGTGACTTGTTTTGGGTCTCTGTTCTTTAATCACTCCTAGTGGGTTAGAGGTAAATACGAGTTTTAAGATGTATGATCGTATGTTATGAAACTGTTCTTGACCCAAGTTTTTTTTTTTTTTTTTAAATTGGTATTGGGGAAAAAAAAATTGGTATCAAGCTTTGCCGATGTGGCTCAGTGGAGTGAGCATCATCCCAGGGACTGAGAGGTTGTGGTTTGGTTCCTGGTCAGGGCACATGCCCAGGTTGCAGGCTCGATCCCGAGTCAAAGGTGTGCAGGAGGGAGCCGATCAATGTCTCTCTCTCACATCGATGTTTCTCTCTGTCCCTTCCTCTCTCTCTAAAATAGCAATAAAAACATTATTTAAAAAAAATAAAAAAATAAAATTGGTATCAATACCTACTCCACCAGGATGCTGTGAGGCTTAAAAAATGTATGCAAAGTAGTTATCCCACTGTTTTGCACATGGTAAACACTTAATACAACTTTCCAATTTCAAAACAGTAGCTCACTAAGTCACAGTACTATAATAGCCGGCTGAGTTAGGAACAGGTTCTGACCTTTTCTTCTAGGAATGGCGTATTAACAGGAAAGCAGGACCAGAAGTGCCGAAGAAGTTCCCCAACAGCCACGTACAGGTGTTTTAATTCAGACTGAATATCATTTGGCACCATCTCTGCAAAACAAAGGTCCATAGGATAAAAGCTATTTTCCTCTATGTATAAGAAATCTGAACATGTGCTCTTTGCTAATGCCAAACCAGGATGTGCTATTCTAAGTTACATTTTGGGATTTTGAAAAACTCTTAGGTTTCTCTTTATTCTAAGAGATAGGTGAGAAAAAAAAGAAAGGTTTTAGGATGATATAGGGAGACTAATGTGCCCACTTTTTGTAAAATTAAGACAATTCTGAAACCTAAGTTATTGTCTAGATATGTTTCAGGATCTGGATGCATAGAAACAAAAATCCCACAAATTTTCCAAAGAAAAACCAATAAAACTTCAGCCCTCTTCTCTACTTGCTCTTTAGAGCTTAAGTAAAGACACAGCAACAGCCCAGGCTGGTTTGGCTCAGCAGTTGGAGCACTGGCCTGCAGACCAAAGAGTCCCAGGTTCGATTCCGGCCAAGGGCACGTACCCGGTTGTGGTCGTGTGGGTGGCAAACAGTTGATGTGTCTTTCTCACATTGATGTTTCTCTCTCTCTCTCTTCCTCCTTCCCACTCTGTCTGAAAATAAATGTAAAAATATCCTCGGGTGAGAATTTTAAAAAAAGAGAGACAGCAACAGAAGATGGCCCAGCACGTACGGTTTATGGCTTGTGGTGTCCCTCCCTGCATAAGTGCTCCTCCAGGTGACAGCGCTGCGATGGTGCTACTGGCGGCACTACTTGAGAGAACCTGAAAGGAAACACAGGAAGTGGTTTTTGTATTTTTCTTGTCATCTTTCTTACTTAACATTTCAGTTTTATACCAAAATGTCCAGTAAGTCTTTACTACTGTAGAAATATATAGTTTATAGCAACCAAAACAAACTACTATGTTTTACATAGAAACAGTCTGTGTAGCAAGAGAATACAGACCAATCTAGGAATATTAGGCAACTCCACAGGTACCTCAAAATTCACATGCTTTGCCTTGTCAAGCCTTTTCTTAAGCACCAATTCAACCTAATTTGTGAACTCTTACCACTGAAGGTAAAATTGAGTTTAAGGAAAGGAAACAAGTCAAGTAAAACAACTTGTTAACTGCTATCATTGCTGGCAGCTGGGGGGGGGGGGGGGACGGACGCGAGCAACAGAGCAGAAATATATCATTTGTCATTTTCCAAAGAAGCTAATACACTTAGCTACGAAAGGAAAGAATGTATTTTCCCCACTATGTCAGTATCAACATTTAGGGACATAATTGACCCATCTATTCAAGGAGTGCTCGCAAGTGCCAGGCGCTATGGCCAGAGAGAGGAACAAATCATTTATTAAATAGCTCAAGTGCAGGGTTAGTGCGTCCAAAGTTTTTCTTTTTTCTTTCTTCTTTTTAATCCTCACCCGAGGACATTTTTTGATATTTTGTTCAGATAGAGTGGGAGGGGGAGAGAGAGAGAAACATTGACGTGAAAGGGACACATCGAGTGGCTGCCACCCACACGACCCAACCAAGGCTGGGGACAAACTGCAACTGAGGTACGTGCCCTTAGTAGGAACCGAACCCAGGTCTCTCCGGACCACAGGCCGACGCTCTAACCGCTCTGCCAAACCGGTCCGGGCTGTCCAAAGTTTTTCAATGGAGTTTTTACAAGTATAAATCCATGGGCTGAACTAAAAAAAAAATTTAAGCCTGGTGTCGAATACAGCACACAACAACCACAAGTCAAGGGGACATGAGAGTTCACTTTGCTCCTACTTCCTTTTGTCAGAATTTCTATAATGCACTGTAACCAAAAACTTCTGTGATTGCTGAGCTTGCCCACTGGCTCCTGGCGGCACTCAGGTATACACACCCGAAGGCACATAATCTCTTGGGACTTCATGACTCAATTTATGTGTCTCAGATAATAAAATCACATTTTGGGGGTTTACAGGGGATGGGAAAGGGTGAATGTGGGGAAGAATCTAAATATTTAAGACTGATCACGGCTTTAAAGTTAGGTGGATCTACTTGGGCCCAGATGTTGGGCAATTACAGTCTAGAAGGAAAGAAGTGGTTAAATAAGCCTAAATTTATGTGTGCATATATGTGCATACATATATTTCCTCGCTCTGTCCGCTGAGGAGACAATAACACCAGTAGCAAATGACACCCCAACAACGAGTACACCCCATACTGGGATCATGGTTTCTAAATGCATTCAGTACTAAAAGGAAGATTCTGTGGCTGGGGCAAGAAAAATATAAGATGAACCTGAAACATCTATCTCATTGTGCCATAAACATAAAGTAGGGAGGTGCTCAAAACCTGATGGACACTATCAGAAAAATACAGAAACCAGTGTGAAGGGCTTGGGAAGGGTCTGACTACAAAGGGGAATGGGTACTATTTAGGGCCAACAAAACATTTTTATCTTGATTGTGCTGGTGATTACACAACTGTGTATGTTTACTAAAAACCATAGAATAGACTAAAAAAGGTAAATTTTACGGTATGTAAATTATACTTTAGTTTGAAAAAACAAAAAAAAGGCAACAATTTATAACCCATAGAATAACATAAGAATCCGTGGATCCATGATGATATACATAAATATAGAAGGGAAGGAAACTCTTCCTTTTAGCACAATGTCAAATGATAAATGTAGAATGGATAATGGAATTAGAAAATCATCATTTAACCATAACCATGGTGATTGTTTTCAGTGAGCATCATCAATGGATTCTAAAAAGCTAGAGTAGGTAAAAGTTTGATGGGAAATGGAATACTCACTTAGTCTTAAAGTATCACCCCATAAGATACTTATTAATTACAAAGGAAAAAGTAACTTTTTGGTGGAGAAACCAGGCAGATACTACCCCAACCAAGAAATCAAAGTTAATAATCACCAATTAGGACAGATAAGTTAGCATGTGCCTCCTGATGTGAGGACGACACATCACTACACATTAGTTCTGTGGTGTTCCTGCCTAAAATATATAATGTGAACCCAATCTTAAGGAAACATTAGAGAAACTCCATTGACAGCATCCTACAAAAAACTGGGTTGTACTCTTCAAATATGAAGGTCATGAAGGCAAAGAAAAATTGAAAAACCATTCCATTTTAAAAAAGACTAAAGGGTCATGGGAACTATATGCAATTCATGAACCTGACTTGGATGCTGGACCAAGGAGTTTTCTTTTGCTATAAGGGACATTAGTGGCACAAATGGCGAAATTTTTGTAAGACCTTTAGCTTAGATAATACTTTATTAACATTAAATGATTGTTTCTATAACTAAACAGTATTACTTATAAAAATGTCTTGTTTTAGGAAGTACACACTAAAATATTTAGAAATAAGGAGATCTACTCTCAAAATTGATCAGAAAACATGTTTTGCAACTTTCTGCAAATCTGAAATTACTTAAAAATAAAAAGTAATACTATGCAGCTGTAAGGAAGAAAGATCTCTTACCCTTTGAGATGACATGGAGGGACCTGAAGAGTATTATGCTAAGTGAAATAAGCCAATCAGAGAAAGACAAATATCACATGATCTCACTTATTTGTGGAATATAATGAACAAAATAAGTTGATGAATAAAATAGACCCAGAGACATGGAAGTAGGGAAGAGACTGACAAACCATAAAGGGAAGGTGGGAAGAGATAAACCAATGACCTAATATGCATATGTGCATAATCAATGGACAGAGATAACAATACAGTGAAGATGGGGAAGGGGGAACAGAAGCAGGGAGGAGCATTCAAAGGGGGAAAAAAGAGGTACATCTGTTAACAAAAAATAAATAAAATAAATTTTAAAAAAGTAAATATAAGTCCCAATATACGATAAGCACTACAATACAGGTATGGACTCAGTGTCTCAGTATTTATAAAAACAAAGAAATGAAAAAAACTCATTACTGGACACGTTGAGGATTTCTTTACAGATGCAATGAAATCTCAGCTGAGTATTGAATACTTATTACTAGTTTCTCATGGGCAGAAGGCTAAAGGCATTCTAAGAAGAGAGAAAGCATGAGCAAAAGCACAGGAAGCATGAAGATAGTATGATTAAACAGCTCTAGGTAGTTTAGCATTTAGGCTGGAGTACAGGACTCTTTGTTATGTGTTGAAGGGAATGGCAGAGATATGGCTGGAGTTAGGATTGGAGATGTGGGTGAGGACCAGATTTTAAAGGGTGTGGCATGCCAGATAAAGGCATTCAGATAATTACTGTGGCAACAAAGAGCCCCCACCAAAGGTTTTTAAACTGCAGAGTGATAAGATCAGATTAATGTTTTAGAAAGATTAACTTGCAGTGGCAGTGTAGAAAACTGATCAGGTTTGCCTAAACCAGTGGTTCTCAACCTTCCTAATGCCATGACCCTTTAATATAGTTGTTCATGTTGTATGTGGGTATATCTACATGTGGGCGGACCCACCTGGAGCTGGATAGAGGAGCAGTGTCTTGGTTCCTAAGACCATAGAAAATAATGTGTTTTCCGATGGTCTCAGGCGACCTCTGTGAAAGGGTCGTTCGACCCCCAAAGGAGTCATGACCCACAGGTTGAGAACCGCTGGCCTAAATCAAGGTAATGAAATCAAGAAATACTAAAGAATTGACAGAAGTTGATAATAAAAGTATAAAGGTGGAGAAAATAAAAAATAGGTAACGAGTTCGGTTTTACATATTTCTTTTATATATTGAGGTAATGCAGAATATCTAGAGTGATGACCAGAATTATTCCTTCCATATACAAAATTGTGCATATGGAAGGAAAAATTAGCAATCCCAAAACTCATTATTTTCATTATCATCTTCAGATGCTTCTTTTTTTTTATTTTTTTAATCCTCACCCGCGGACATTTTTCCATTTTTTGTTCAGATAGAGCAGGAGGGAGAGAGAGGAAGAGAGAGGAAGAGAGAGAGAAACATCGACGTGAAAGGGACACATCGAGTGGCTACCACCCGCACGACCCAACCAGGGCCGGGGACAAACTGCAACCAAGGTACATGCCCTTAGCGGGTACCAAACCTGGGTCTCTCCGGACCGCAGGCTGACGCTCTAACCACTGAGCCAAACTGGCTAGGGCCAGATGCTTCTTGAATATGCCAAATACCTTTTCTCCCTACCTACTGGATTTTTCAATTTATTTAGCAGAAATATGCTTTTAAATGCAATTAAAATATTAGTTACATAGTTCAATTTGGTTGTGTGCATAAAATAAGGAAGTAATCATGTGTGGGAATTCTGGTTTTCAAACAGTACAAATTACCTACCTGAGTTAATCTGGGTGTATAAGCTTCCATTTCTTGTCTAATACTTTGAAAAGAATTAATAATGTCCTGACTTGTTGCATACTGTAGTGACTGGATTGGAGTTGGACCATGATAATACCTGAACGTTAGCAAAGAAGAAAAGAAATTACACAGAATAAAGGTGCTCAACAGTTGTCTTTTAAATATTTTAGCAGTCCCAATACATTTTCCCCAAAGCAAAAAATGACAATATAAAGAGATTTCAATAAAATCCTCTACTTCAAATAAGGGCAATAAGATGAAAACAGCAGAGAGCCAATATTTATTTTCTTGACTTTGATCATTTAGGATCCTTTCCTGAGATGCACAAAGTAAAAATTATAATGAAAAAGGATACTTTACGGGGTGGGAGTGTGGTGGGGGTTAATGGGGGAAAATGAGAAACACCTGTGATGCTTTTAACACTGAAGATAAATTGTAAAAAAAAGAATACTGTACTTTTATGGTAATAAACCAATTAAACTTGAATGCTATCCTTGCAAAATATATTCTGCAATAACTTGTGCTTTTTTTCATCCTCACCCAAAGACATTTTACCATTTTTTTGTTCAGATAGAGTGGGAGAGAGAGAGAAACATCGACGTGAAAGGGACACATCGAGTGGCTGCCACCCGCATGACCCAACCATGGCCAGGGACAAACTGCAACCAAGGTATGTGCCCTTAGCGGGAACCGAACCCGGGTCTCTCTGGACCGCAGGCTGACACTCTAACCGCAGAGCCGAACCGGCCAGGGCAATAACTTGTGTTCTACAACTATTCTGTCCCAAATTAATTTAATATCGATCAAACTTACCTATCTGACTTCTTGAGGTTTAGTGCAATTGTTTTCATGGAATTATTTTTTCCCAAGTCTTCATATTCAATGGACTCTTGTAACTTCGCCTATAATTATTAACACAACACTTTTTACAGTAACTTTCCCTTATAAAAGTAATGGACATGACTGAAAAGTAAAACTGTATGAAGTCTTCCCACTATGAGCTTCACTTCCTAGAGATAATTGCTATACAGATAAGTTGAACCCATATTTTCACCAACCAATTACAGAGAATGTTTTCCTACACTCTCACCATAGTTTCCCCCCCACTGATTCTGAAATGCCGTGTTTATCATATATTTAATTCCTCCAAGTATCTGGGTTTACTTCTGAACCTTTTTTTTTAAATTAAAAAAAAATTTGTGTTAACCCTCACTGGATCATATTTTTCCATTTATTTCTAGATAGAGTGGAAGGGAAGGAGGAAAAGAAACATCTATGTGAGAGAGACACATCGATTGGCTGCCTCCTGCAAGACCCTGACCAGAGCCTGGGATCACACCTCCAACCCAGGTATGTGGCCTTGATTGAGAATCAAACCAATGATCCTTTGGTCTAAAGGCCAATGCTCTAACTACTGAGCCAAACCGGCCAGGGCAGAACTCTTATTATAAAAACAAAAGCAATTTCCTTTAAAAAAAATTTATTGAGAGCAGGAGAGAAAGAGGTGGGGGGGGGGGGTAGAGGTAGAAAGAGAGAAAGAGAAAGAAACACTGATGAGAGAGACACATCGATTGGTTGCCTCCCACAGGACAGGACAAGAGCTGGGGAATGAACTGCAACCAAGGTATGTTCCCTTAGCCGGAATCAAACCTGTGACTCTCTTTGGTCCTCGTGCCAATGCTCTAATCACTGAGCCAAACCAGCCAGGGCTCATGGGCTGCTTCTTATATGTGCCCTGACCGGCAACCTTGACCTATGGGGACAAAGCTTTAACCAACTGAACTACCCAGCCCGACACTTTTTTAAAAAATCCTTACTGGAGGACATTTTTGCATTTATCTTCAGATAAAGCGGGAGTGAGAGAGAGGAGAAGAGAAAGAAACATCGATGCGAGAGAGACACATCGAGTGGTTGCCACCCACACAACCCCAACCGGGGATGGGGAAAAACTGCAACCAAGGTACGTGCCCTTAGTGGGAACTGAACCCAGTACTCTCTGGTCCGCAGCCCGGCGCTCTAACTGCTGAGCCAAACCGGCCAGGGCATATAGCCAGGCACTTCTTAACACTTTATTTTGGTTTTACTAATCTGTTTTCTCCTGTGCTAGTAACAAACTGCTAAATTTCCATGACTTTAAAATATCAGTTATAAAAAATACATGAAGACAATCTATGTAAAACATTTGTGAAAATAATTCTATAATAATTCATCCTCTACACAGCTATGAAATTCATCTGGTTAACTCTCATTTGCAGTTACCAAGCCTGGGATCAAAACATTTAGATTATGCTCTGGCTGGGTGGCTCAGCTGGTTGGAGCACTGTCCTATGCACCAAAAAATTTTGGGTTCAATTCCTAGTTACAGCATATACCTGTTGGCGAGTTTGAGCCCCAGTTGTATGGGAGCCAATAGATCAATGTATCTCTCTCACATCAATGTTTCTCTCTCTATTTCCCCCTTCTTCTTTGCTCTAAAAAAAACAATAAAAACATATCCTCCGGTGAGGATTAATTAAAAAAAAGGAGGAGAAAAAAAGTTTAGGTTATTCATATATATCATAAAAAAGATCAATTTGAGCCCTGGCCGGTTTGGCTCAGCGGTTAGAGCGTCGGCCTGCGGTCTGGAGAGACCCGGGTTCGGTTCCCGCTAAGGGCATGTACCTTGGTTGCAGTTTGTCCCCGGCCCTGGTTGGTCGTGCGGGTGGCAGCCACTCGATGTGTCCCTTCACGTCGATGTTTCTCACTCTCTCTCCCTTCCTCTCTCTCCCTCCCATTCTATCTGTACCAAAAATGGAAAAAATATCCTCGGGTGAGGATTAAAAAAAAAAAAAAAAAAAAAAAAAAAAAAAGATCAATTTGAGAACTTAGTATTTTAAATTGCCCTATTTTAAGAGTCTAAATAGTTTTAGTATAGGAACAATTTAACTTCAGCATGATATTCAGAGTAAACTTCAGCATGATATTCAGAGTAACATATCCATCTGTCCCACCTTACTTAGTCAGCCTAATTTTACACTTTCTCAACTCTATAACTTTTAGCTAACTTCAAGGCATACTAAATGTTATTACTTTTCACATATGTCAAATTCATATTGACTCCTGCTGTTGCCTTACCTAAGCTGTGTCCCTACCCAACCTCCCATAATAATCCAAATCTTAAAACTTCTGCCAGAGCATAAGTCACCTAAACTTTCATACTTAATTGCAAGCTCCATAAATGTAAGAACTCTATCATTACTTCTGAATCTCATTCTACAAAACCCTTTGTATAACACACAGACAACTCTTGACTTGAAAGAATATATACAGTCAGCATTTATTATTGAATATTGTGAAAATCCACACAATGGCTTTTGACAACTCTTTCACTATCAAGAATCAAGACTACTTGATTCCTTGTCAGGGCACATAACCTACATTGAAAGTTTGATCTCTGGTTGGGGAGCATACTGGAGGCAACCAATCAATGTTTCTCTCTCAAATCAAAACACATCCTCGGGTGAGGATTAAAACAAACAAACAAAAAACTACAACAACCATGAAACAAGAAGCACACAAACAACAAAAACAGCAGAGAGAGAGAGTAGCTTGGCAAAGTTACAGGGAAAGAAGGAATATGTAAGTAGGTAACTCTGTTCATACTTCCCCCTACTCCCTCAAGTGATTACTTCAATATTTAAGGAAAAGACATATCTAGCCTCAAAATGCTAAGTTTAATATGAGGGTCAAATCCTATCTTTCAAAATCATTATACACAAACCTTCAGTTTTTCTTTTTCTCACACTGACTCTGTTGAATATTTTTTCTCAGAAAACAGAATTATATGTCAATATGTGCATATGTATACATATAAAGAGGGAAAAACACAAACAATAAAAATTGTTAAGACTTGCATTCATGTAAAGTTGACTGGCAAGCTAAAACTGAGGAAGTACTTTTTAAAATGTTCTACAGTTTAAGCCAAATGTTAACGTGTTGGTCAGAACTAAGTCATCTGAAATAATCAAGGGTCAACATAAAGTATTAGCAATTACATAAGGTATCTGGAGAAACCTGAGCCCTAAATGTCCCCAACTTTTTACCCATACCCTTTTGACTGCTGGCTGAAAGCAGTCTGCATCTCTGGAATTTCCATCAATGCTGCTGGGCTCACCATTTTGCTCATTTTGTGCTTCTCTAAAAACAAAGAAAAATAAATTAATGTTAAAAACCACAGGCAGAACGCTATCACAAATCATTCTGGCTATCTTGTAAAGTCTAGTCACTGCACCTTGCATGTATACTTAACTGTTTCCTGAGACCTGCTGCCAGGACCATGGCACTGTGATGGTTAAATCTCTTGATGATGGCAGCATTACTATTCTCCTTTATGGATTTGGAATTAGAAGTAGATGGCACAGAGGAAATGCCATAGCCCTATAAGAAACAATTCAGTAGATTAAAAATCAAAATAAAGTTCTGATTTTCTTATCTGTTATAAGACATGATTAGCTGAAAAAATGTTCTGGATAATGGGACTTCATTAATTCTGAATACTACTAAATATTTATAAACATTTAAGTGACAATATACACACAGAAATGAAGAAATACCACTAACTCCTTTTATCATGACCAAAAACATCTTAACTTGAGCTCTGCATTTTTTGTCCTTTATTTATTTTTAGAGAGGGAGGAAGGGAGAGGGAAAGAGATAGAAACATTGATGAGAGAACATCGACTGGCTGCCTCCTGCATGACCCCCTCTGGGGGCTTGGCACACAACCTGGGCATGTGCCTTGACCAGGAATCGAACCAGCAACATCTTGGTACATGGGTTGACACTCAACCAGTGAGACACATGGGCCGGGCGAGCTCTGTATTTTTTAAATAGCAATTTTGTACCTAGTTAGAAAAATATTTTTTTTTAATCCTCACCTGAGGACATTTTTGCATCTATCTTCAGACAGAGCAGGAGGGAGAGAGGGATGAAGAGAGAGAGAGGGAGAAACACTGATGTGAGAGAGACACATCAAGTGGTTGCCACCCACACAACCCCGATGGGGCCCAGGGACAAACTGCAATGAAGGTACGTGCCCTTAGTGGGAACCAAACCCAGGACTCTCTGGTCCGCGGGCTGACGCTCAAACCACTGAGTCAAACCGGCCAGGGCTGGTTAGCAAAATATTAAATGAAGGAACAGACTAAAGTTAAAAAAAAAAGAAGAAAAAAGCATGGACTTTTGAAGTAAAATAGATATGAAATCAAATTCTGGTTTTATTACTTTTCCAATGTTAGTCTAGGTAAGATCAAGATAATAGGATATTTGGAGAATAGGATATTTACAGTAATATCCCAATACATGGGACATTATCAAACATGTATTGAGTGCATGCTATGTGCTAACCTCTGTAGTTAGAAAGATGGTAAGACCTTGTGCCAAAGGAGCCAAAATACTAGTTAGTGGGATGCTAGGCTATAAGCCAGTACACATAGTTAAGACTTATAGGTGCTACAAGAAAGTGGTCAACCCCGCCACAGGAGAGGAGAGGTAGGTTTGAAAAGTTTCATGGAGTTACCATCTTCTAAGGCAGATACTGAGACAACAACACTCCATGATGAGCAAACTACTTAAACAAAGGTATAGAAGCAATGTGTAATACACATTGTCCTAAGTTTGCATGTAGTTCAGTATAACTGCAATGAAAGGTGAGCCAGAGATTGGTGAGATACAAAGCTGACAAGTAAAAAAAAACATCTGAAAGTGACAAATGTTATGAAGAAAACAGATGTTGAGATGATGCAGTGACTGGACTGGGAAGAGAAGCTACTTTAGATAGGGAGGTTAGAAAAATTCTCTGGAAAAGTGACATGAGAATAGACTTCTAAAAGCTAGCTAGGTAGAAGAGCAGGAAGAAGGAACAGCAAGTGTAAAGACCCTGAGGTGGAAAAAGCTTCAGGTAGATCTGAAGGTCACTGTGTCTGGAGCACAAATGAGTGGAAGTAGCCCAAACTGAGGTAGAAGTAGGCAGAGGCCAAATCCAGAATGGCGATGTAGGAGTTTTGATTTTATTATAAGTTAAATGAGAAGCCACTGAAGTTTTACATAGGAGACTATTATGATCTGATATATAACTCTTACTGCTAGGAAATGATCTATAAAGAACAAAAGTAGAAATAGGAAGATTAAATAGGGGGCTAATGCAAGCAATCAAGCCACAGATGAGGTGGTAGTCTAAAAGCCAGAGGGTATAAGTATCTGTGAAGATAGAGATGTAGACAGATCATCCCCTGGCCAGTTTGGCTCAGCAGTTAGACCATTGGCCCATGGACCAGCGACTCACGGATTCGCTTCTAGGTCAAGGACATGTACCTCAGTTGCAGGTTACATCCCTTAACCCCACTGTGTTCTTGCACAGGGCAGCCAATTGACGTCTCTCTCTCCCATTGATGTTTCTCCCTCTCTCCCCACTCTATCTACAAAAGAAGAAAAAAAAAAAAGAGATGTAGACAGATCAGAGATGAAGAGGACTTGTTGATGAACTGAATGTTGGTGAAGGGGAGGGAGGAATCCTGGAGACGCCTATGTTTTGGCTTGAGTAACTGAGTTTATGGTAATGTACTTTTACTGAGGTAGGAAAGACTCAGGAAGAAATAAGTTTATGATGATGGGAATCAAAGTTTCCATTTTGGACATGTTATGTTGAGGTGTCTGTGAAATTATCAAGTAGGCAGTTGGATACATGATTTTGGAGTTCTGGGATTAGACAAGTGCTATTTGGGAGTCATTATCACATAGTATTTAAAGCAATGAAATGTAGAGAATGCATTCAGGAGGAGGCCCAAGACAATATCCTGGGGTAGTTACAACTAGAGGATAACAGGGGAGGAAGAGGCACCAAAGGAAAAAGTGTATCAATCAACATTTCTATAAAGGGGATTAATTATACATCCATACAATGGAATACTATGGCTGGGCCGGTGTGGCTCAGTGGACTGAGCATCGTCCCATAGACTGAGAGGTCCTGGTTCGATTGCTGGTCAGAGTTGCCCAGGGTTGCAGGTTTGATCCCCAGTAGGGGGTACGTAGAAGGCAGCCCATCGATGTTTCTCTCTCACATGGATGCTTCTATCTCTCTCTCCACTCCTCTCTCTCTAAAAATCTACAAAAGCATAGTAAAAACACAAGAACATTAAAAAAATGGAATACTATGCAGGCACTAAAAAATTTAACTAACAATAACATCTATTACTTACTGAACACTTACTATGTACCAGACTCTGAAAAATGATGTGTTTTTTTAAAAATTTTTTTCTTTATTGATTTTGAGAGAGAAAGGAAGGGAGAGTGAGAGAAAGATAGAAACATCGATGAGAGAGAACATCAACTGGCCACATCCTGCATGCCCCTCACTAGGGAATGGGCCCACAACTTGGGCATGTGTCCTGACAGAATGGAACCAGCAACCTTTTGGTGCATGGGCCAATGCTCAACCACTGAGCCAAACCGGCCAGGCTAAAAAGTTTTCTTAAATTGATTTTTAGAGAGGAAGAGAGGAGAGAAAAAAACATCTATGTGAGAAACATCAATCAACTTTCTCCCCCACAAACACCAACCGGGATTGAACCTGCAACCTGGGCGTGTACCCTGACTGGGAATTGAACTGGTGACCTTTTGAGGCACCAGATGATGCCCAAACAACTGAACCACACCAGCCAGGGCTATGTACCAGACTTTGTAAACTCTTGTAGCAATCCTATCAGGCAGGCACATTTTTTCCCCTTGCATTTTAAAAATTGAGACACTGTATAAGTTTAAGAAGTACAATGTATTGATTTCATTTAAATATTGCAATACGGCCCTGGCCAGTTTGGCTCAGAGGTCTGAGCGTTGGGTTCGGTTCCTGCTAAGGGCACATACCTCGGTTGCAATTTGTCCTTGGCCCTGGTTGGGTCATGTGGGAGGCGGCCACTCGATGTGTCCCTTTCATGTTGATGTTTTCTCTTTCTCTGTTTCTCTCTCTCTCTCTCCCTCCCACTCTATCTGAACAAAAAATTTTAAAAATGTCCTCACTGAGGATTAAAACAAAAATATTGCAGTATGATTACCACTGAGGCTAACACCTCTATCACTGTCACATAATTATCAATTCCTTGTTTGTGGTGAGGACATTTAAAATCTAGTCTCTTAGCTATTTTGACATTTATCCTACAGTATTGTTGGCCACGCTTGTGCATTAGAGCTCCAGAACTTATCTACGAGTTTCAAGCTGTATTCTTAAACAACATCTCCCCAATTTTTTTCTATGCTTAGTATTACTACCCTCATTTTATAAGAAAACGACTTAGAAATATTAAACAAATGATAGTCTAAGCCAGGTAATTTGGTTTTAAAGTCTATGAACTTAACAACTATTGCATAGTTACCTCAAATTGATATTGGTAATAAAAAAAGTGAAGAAGAAAATTACACATACACATGTAATAATATACCATCTTTTTTTTTTTTTTAATATCCTCATTCAAGAATAGTTTTCCTTGATTTTTAGATAGAGTGGGAGGGAGAGGGGTTGGGAGGGTTGGGGTGGGGGGAGAGAGAGAGAGAGAGAGAGAGAGAAATATCAACATGAGAAAGACACATTGATTAGTTGCCTCCCATACAACCATGACCAGGGCTGGGGATCAAACCCGTGACACTCTTCAGTCTTCGGGCTGACACTCTAACTGCTGAGCCAAACCAGCCAGGGCTCATCTTTTTATTTGAAAAAAAAAAAAAAAGGCACTACAATGTTTTTTTTTCCCCCATCACTTTAAGTAAACTGTAATCTCTAAGATTCCCTAAACTTCATTTTCTTTCTTTTTTTTTTTTTTATCCTCACCCGAGGACATTTTTCCATTTTTTGTTCAGATAGAGCGGGAGGGAGAGAGAAGAGAGAGAGAAACATCGATGTGAAGGGACACATTGAGTGGCTGCCACCCGCACGACCAACCAGGGCCGGGGACAAACTGCAACCAAGGTACATGCCCTTAGCGGGAACCGAACCCGGGTCTCTCTGTACCGCAGGCCAATGCTCCAACCGCTGAGCCAAACTGGCCAGGGCTAAACTTCATTTTCTTAGGATCTTAAGAGAGCCCTGTTTGTAGTATGTTAAGAAACACCAAGGAAGTGACTGAGTGCCTAGAATCACAAAAAACAAAACAAAACTGGACTTTCGGTCAAGATGGTGGGTGGGTAAATGCAGTATCACGTCCTCCCACAACCACATCAAAGCTACAACTAAACTACAGAACAACCATCATTCAAAACTGCCTGAAATCAAGCTGAATGGAACTCCTACGACTACAAAATTAAAGAAACCACATCCAGACTGGTAAGAGGGGCGGAAGCTGACTGGCTGGTTCCACAGCCAGGTGTGGTGGATAAAAATCAAGAGGGCACCTCCGCTGGGAAGGTCCTCCCTGAGGACTGAGGGGTCCCTGTCCCACACCAGGTGCCCCGCTCAAGATTGCAGTGCCAGGAAGAGAATCCCCATAATTTCTGGCTGGAAAAAGTAGTGGGAACTGAGGCTCAGGGAAGCTGAGGCGGCTGGAGCCCCAGGCAGCTCTTTAAGGGGCCCATGCACGGACTTATTGGACTCACTCCCTCTAAGCTTGGACGAGAGGCAGCTCGAGGGGCGCCAGAGACATACAGGGAAGAACTGAGCTGTTTGGCTTTGGAGCGAGGGCTGGAGAGGGAGCTTTCTCCAGGACAAAGGTGCTGTCAGAGGCCTTTGTTCCTTTGGTAAGCCCTTCCCTCACGAATCTGGCAGACAGCCACCATATCTGGGACTCTAGCAACCTGGCTCACATTGGTTGCCCCGCCCTGGTGATTCCCTGAGGCCCCGCCCCACCCAACTTTCAGGCCTACCCAAGCTGTTGCCAGTTGCTTAACCATAGGATTGGCCTGTTTTGGATCCTGCTTCAGATTTCCCTAAATTCTTTCAAACGAGCAGCATCTGGTCTCAGATAGCCCCATACTTCTCATTAAGTAATACACAGTAACAAACACAGGGAGGCAGCCAAAATGAGGAGACAAAGAAACAGGTCCCAAATGAAAGAACAGAAAAAATCTCCAGGAAAAGAACTAAGCAAAATGGAGATAAGCAACCTAACAGATGCTGAGTTCAAAATACTGCTTATAAGGATGCTCAGTGAACTTAGTGAGAACCTCAGCGAACTTAGTGAGGGCCTCAAGAGCATAAAAAAAGGACCAGTCAGAAATGAAGGAGGCACAGTCAGAAATGAAGGAGGCACTAACTGAAATAAAGAATAATTTGCACAGATTCAATAGTATAGTAGGTAAAGCCAAGAAGGAAACCACTGATTTGGAATCTAAGGAAGCAAAAAACACCCAATCAGAACAGCAAAAAGAAAAAAGAATCCAAAAAAATGATGATAGTGTAAGGTGCCTCTGGGACAACTTGAAGCGTGCCAACATTCGCATCTTGGGGGTGCCAGAAGGAGAAGAGAGAGAACAAGAAATCGAAAACCTATTGGAAACAATAATGGCAGAAAAATTTCCTAACTTGGTGAAGGAAACAGACATACAGTGATACCTCGGTTCTCGAACATAATTCGTTCCAGGAGGACGGTCGAGAACCGAATTGTTCGAGAACCGAAGCAATGAAACCAATAGGAAAGCGTGACTCCACAAAGCGTGACTCTCTCTCTGCACTCACACTGATGACGCAAGCAAGGCGCGCTGGGCCGAATGAACGTCATTCGGCTCAACTCGGCTCATCTCGGAAGTTCGAGGTCCAAATATTTGTTCGGATTCCGAGACAAAAGTTTCTCGAATCCCGATTTGGTCGAAAACCGAGGCGTTCGAGAACCGAGGTATCACTGTACATGTCCAGGAAGCACAGAAGAGAGTCCCAAACAAGACTCCCAAGAGGCCCACACCAAGACACATCATCAAAATGCAAAAGGTTCATGACAAAGAGAGAATCTTAAGAGCAGCAAGAGAAAAGCAATTAGTTACCTACAAGGGAGTTCCCATAAGACTGTCAGCTGATTTCTCAAAAGAAACTTTGCAGGCCAGAAGGGAGTGGCAAGAAATATTCAGAGTGATAGAAAGCAAGAACCTACAACCAAGGTTACTCTATCCTGCAAAGCTGTTATTTAGAATCAATGGCCATAAAGAGCTTCCCAGACAAGAAAAAGTTAAAGGAGTTCATCACCACCAACCCGTTATTATATGAAATGATGAAGGATCTTTTTGAAGAAAAAGATAAAGTATATGAACAAACAAAATGGCAATGAATACACATCTATTGACAAGTGAATCTACAAACAAAATAAACAGGCAGAACAGAAACATTCTCATCGATACAGAGAACATTTTGTTGGTTGCCAGATGGGAGGGGGCTTGGGGGAATGAGTGAAAAAGATGAAGGGATTAAGAAGAACAGATTGGTTGCTAGACTGACCAACCTTAAAGGGAAGGGTGTTGGGAAGTGGGAGGAAATAAACCAAAGAAATTATATGCATAACCAATGGACACAGACAACAGTGTGGGAAAAGGCGGCAGTGGGGAGGAGGGGGTCAATGGGGGAAAAATGAGGAACATCTGTAATACATTCAACAATAAAGATTAAATAAAAAAAAGAAGAAAAAAAACAAAACAAAACTGAATTTCACTATGGAAATGACTCACCTGGGTACCAAACATTATTTTTTATCAATATATAATTTAGACCATAGGACAAAATTTTTTTTTTTTTTTTTTATCCTCACCCGAGGACATTTTTTTCGATATTTTGTTCAGATAGAGTGAGAGGGAGAGAGAGAGAGAGAAACATCGACGTGAAAGCGACACATCGAGTGGTTGCCACCCACACGACCCAACCAGGGCCGGGGACAAACTGCAACCAAGGTACGTGCCCTTAGCGGGAACCAAACCCAGGTCTCTCTGGACCGCAGGCCAACGCTCTAACCGCTGAGCCAAACCGGCCAGGGCCATAGGACAAAATTTTAACATTGGTTTTCTTACCTGCTAAGTACATATACTCAAATTAGAAGAAAAGTTAGGGAAGAAAAAGATGGGAAGGTATGAGCATGTGCATACAGCCAGCAGAAGAGGAGACAAAAAAGGGGCAAGATAATTAAAATATAACAGTGTGAGAAGAATAACTGTGGAAAGCAGTTTCTTCTTAGACTTGAAGATAGAAGCAGGGATGGAACTAGCCTTGATTAGAAGATATAATCTCTTTCTCCATGACTGGATAAATATATAAGTCTAGAGTCATGATGTTAAAGTAGGTAACTCATACTTGATGGTCTGGCTGTTGAAACATATTAGGGCTAGTGTGAGGTAAGGAACACAAGTGAGGTAATGATGTGCAAATAATGGGCAATCAACAAAAGTTTATCTTTTCTTGTCTACTAATATTTATCCACATTTCTAGAGATTAATGTTAGCTAGAACATAAAGCCAGACTCATCAACATGTTAAGCCTTCAGGCCAGCTAGAGTGGCTCAGTGGTTGAGTGTTGACCCATGCATCAAAAGATAGCCGGTTCGATTCCCAGTCAGGGCACATGCCCAAGGTTATGGGCCAGAACCCTCAGTGGGGGGCATACAGGAGGGGTGGCCAATCAATGTTCTCTCTCATAGATGTTTCTATATCTCTCCCCCTCTCCCTTCCTCTCTCTAAAATCAATAGAGAAAAAAAAAAAATTAAAAAACAAAACAAAACATGTTAAGCCTTCATTACTACCTAGAGAACTGCTGATGGAGGAGCTAGAAAATTCTTTTAAAAAATTTTTAGCAACTTATACAGGAATTTGTTTTCCAAGGCAATTTTAATAGTAAACAGTACTACTGAATTCTGATAAATCACTCCAAATAATAGTATTTTGTTTGATTTACATTCTCACAAGTAGAACATCCTCACTTAAGGCAACGTTAGAACTATAAAAATGTTTAAGACTAAAAAAAGATTGTTCTCTCATAAATCCTTTTACTATTACTTACCTCATCTAATGGTTTATCTTCCAAAGCTGTCAAATCAAGTAGTGGGTTTTTCACTCCTAATGAAACCATTGTTTTTAACCCTAGAAAATAAATAAAATAAGAAGTTGATCTAGTCTTACCTTTCTTATAAGTTAAAAAATTCACTAACAGCACTAATGAGAACAGCAAATTAAATGGTACAGCATATCAAGAATAAACAATTACCCTTTTCATCTATTTTGGCACATTCTGCAAAGAGGTCCTTTGACCCTGTATTCAGCCGATCCCTGTGAAAATAATGGGACTGAAAAAAACGTGTCCAGAATTCCTTTTCTGTCATACTATGCGGAACATTTTCTGCATATTTCATTTTCACTGTGGAAGAAAAACCATAATAGTTACATAGTGCATTTCCATTTCTTAAAACCTCAAATTAGTTGAAATATAGTCTAGCAGCAAAAACCAGATTATGAAACTGTTCAACTTTCTATTGTACATATAATAACCTAATTATAAATATGAAATATAACTTGAGAGATTAGGTGAGGCACTATCCTTTATGAATCTTAACAAATTACAAGCAAACCCTTATTTTGTACCAAGAGAATTAACAAGTGTTGAAGTTTTAGTAGAAATACCAAGAATCTTGGGAGTCAAACCCAAGTTTGCTTATTTGATCATTTACATATTTGTGTTTTCAATCCAAGGCACTGTGTTAGGTGTGCGGGGGAAATAACAATCTCAATATTTATTGAACTATCAGTTTAGCACTCCAGAAGCTCACAGTCCAATGAGCAAAGAGGTTAATTTAGGGCCTAAGGTGCTTGGAAACCTGAGTTTAAAATTCTAGGTTTTCCACTTATTCTAATATGGGGGCGACAACGGTACCTACTTCACAGAGTATTTGTGATGACTAAATGAGTTAATATATATAAAGGCTTTAGAATGGTGTCTGATACAGAGTAAACACTACACAATTATGTTATCATCAGAAAGATATGCAAGTAATTACTTTACAATGTGATAATTCTTTGAGGCAGACACAAGGCCCTAAAGAAGGAAAGGAGAGGAGGGTCTTATGTGTTTGAAGAAGTCAAGATTTTTATAGAGGTGGCAATGAGGTGATGCTTTAGCTGACTCCTGTGGGAGAGGTATGTTTCCTAAGGACTAAAGGGGCAGGAGTAAGAAAGTAGGAAAAAAGAACAGCATATGGCTAAGAGAGCACTGGTTGGTTAAAAGAATGACTAAAGCAGTGATTCGCAACATGTTAAATCATTAGGGCTGGGGGCACGACATTTATATTTTTAGGATGGTTTCTGCAAGGGAAAGGATTTGTGAGTTAAAAAGGTCACTCTGGAGGCAGCATGAAGGATGATCTGAGTTAGTGCTCTAGAGATACTCATTTACTGATGCCTCTGGATGATGTTACCTTGCTCAGGTATAAGGGTAAAGAAAGTTTAAGAACCACTGATGTAAAGAATGGGAAAGTCATCATACCAATGAATTGATGACAGCACATTATATACTGAACCCTTAACATCTACCATATGTCAGGAACTAGGTAAAGTCATTCACATATTTTGTTGCGCTTGATGAGGAATAAAAATTAAACTCTTTGCTTTTCACCGATATATCAATGAATTAATCCAAAAAAATATTTTAACTATCTGAAAGAACTGATTCATCTTACCTGCTGGATAGGTCCTAAATATGGACTCAATGATATCAGAGGTTAAATTATATCTCAGACCATTACATCCATCTGTTTGGGGTCGGACGTCAGCCTAAAATAAAATATAGATATTCGTTAAAATACCAGGAGAAGATGTTAAGCACACAACAGACACTGGACAAAGGTGGAAAAACAGATTTTTAGAACGAATTATAGAGACAGAGGTAAGTCCCTCACCATTACCTTTGCAGAGAGACAAAGAAACCTGGCATGGTTTAACATAAGTTTAGTGACCTATAAAATTTGCTTCCTTGAAAATCCTACATGGTCAAACAGGCATGTTTATGTGTGGCCAAAAACAGATAATTAGGGGAGCTTTAACATAAACTTGTAGTTACCAAAACTACCACACACCTTGCTTACTAAATAAGTATTATCTGACTAGTTTCTTGATGCCAACCCTATCACTGGTATTCAAATTTTTGTTAAATGTATAAATACTGCTTTGGTCCACCACAGTAAAGACTAACAATTCTCATTTTCTAATTCCACAATTTTTTCTACTCCCAATTTTTCTCTAAGACACATTTTATAAGCCTTACTTTTTCTATACTATCACTGTCATTATACATGTAACTTTGCGCTGTAAATAAAATATTGCAACCATAAAAATGGTATCAGAAAGTGCTAAATTTAAAAGTATTAGGGAAAATAAATATTAGTCCAATTGCTGAAAGATTCTCTTTCAAAAGTCCATTTGATTCCCAGCTTGCTAGGGTCAAGTCCAGAAACCAAGAAAACTAACAAAAAGATAAATTTTCAAAATACTGCATATTTTAAAATATTTTAGAATACTATAAACATTTGAAGTATCCATTAATTTGCTTTAAGGAAATACTAAATTTTATAAAAGAAATGGCACGGTTAACACATTATCAGGGTTTTCTTTACCCACCCCCCTGCTTCAGTAATCTAGAAGGGTCACATACCAGAAATGCTGCAGAAATGCCAACATCCTGCTTATGATTGGATGTGGAAGAACTCTCGGTTGAGTTCACATTTAAACGATTGGCCCAGAATTCCTCAGCACTGATCACTTGACTCACAACAAGGTCTTTATAAAGCTGAAACAAAACAGGATCTTCTTGCAGCATTCTGGGGATAGAACATACTGAATATATTGAACTTTCTAGAACAAAACACTACTTAGGTAACATTTTAAAGACTTTAACAGTACAAAATACTGAAACATGCAACTTGCATTTTGGGATGATTGAGCAGCAGAAGGTCGTTTAATTCATTTGTTAGTAATTAAATGCAAAAACCAAACCAAACAAAAAAACCAAAATGACACCATAGTTTTGGAAGAACAAATAAAGTGGAAACAAATGGAAGTCTAAAGCAGCAAAGACTAAAACTCTTTGAGGGCATGGATTTAGTCTTATTCATCTCTATGTCCCAGTGATACAAAGGTCATTGTACTGCCCTGGCCAGTTTGGCACAGTGGTTGGAATGTCGGCCCGCAGACCAGAGAGTCTCGGGTTCAGTTCCCTCTAAGGGCACGTACCTTGGTTGTAGGTTGAACTGGCCCCAGTTGGGGTCGTGTGGGTGGCAGCCAGTCGATGTATCTCTCATATCGATGTTTTTCTCTCTCTCTCTTCTCCCCCTCTTCCTCCTGCTCTGTCTGAAGATAAATGTGAAAGTGTCCTCGGGTGAAGGTTTAAAAAAAAAAGGTCATTGTATCTCTATTTGCATTGCACTGTATCCTTTTTCACAAATAAAGGTGAATGCCTGAGATTTTCCAGCAACTGATTTTTCATGGTGATAAGCACTTAGAGCCATAGTCTGAAAGATACTGATGATAGATTTCATCTTATCAGAAATTTTCACCATTTTATATGCTTTCTCAGCTTTTAAACAGCATGATTTCCTTCAGGTTTTTAAAAATATTTTTATTGATTTTTAGAGAGAGGAAGGGAAAGGTAGAAGAAGACAGAAACATTGATGTGTGAGAGAACCATTGATCAGCTGCCTCCTGCATGCCCCTTACTGGGGATCGAGCCCACATCCTGGGCATGTGTCCTAACTGAAATCGAACCAGTGACCTCTTGGTGCACGGGTTGATGCTCAACTACTGAGCCACACTGGCCAGCTTCCTTTAGGTTTCAGGTCTCTTATTCACAAATACACTTCTTTTAGTAGCTTTTCTGTGAGAGAGAACTGGGATAAGGAATTAAGGGACTTTAGCACCTTTGAATCTCAGTTCTGTTCCTAATCAGATGTTAGGCTTCAGGCAGGTAATTTAACTTCTGAGTTGATACATTCTCACATGCCCAAACCTAAACAACTAGTAAGATGCTAAAGTTGAAAAAAACAAAACACAAAAAAACAAACACAGAGGTAAAGATACCACAGCCCGCATTTTCCTATATTACTCTATCAAAGTATAAGGGGTGAAAAATAACAAGCTATTACTCTACAAGACTGGAGAGAACCCAGTATCTCTTTAAACTTTCTTTTCCTGTCCTGGCCTGTTTGGCCCAGCGGTTGGAGCATCGGCCTGTGGATCAGAGAGTCCCAGGTTCGGTTCCTGCTAGGGGCATGTACTAAAAAAAAAACAAAAACAAAAACACAACAACTTTCTTTTCCTTCTTCACCTGTTTTTCTCTTCAAGTTCTTTATTTGCTTTCCTCTTGAATTTGGGCAGCAGCTGCTGAAGAAGGTCTTTCACTGCATCTCGCTCTTTGACTGCTGTGCTTTCATTGGAAAAATGGAAGTTAGTTGTGTCCCCTGCGTGCAGGACCAGCTGCAGTTGAATTTTAGCTTTTCCTTCTGGACTGATTTTCTGGCCTAAAATGAAGCATGTGGTTAATTAGATGAGAACACGCAAACTGTAGAAAACTGCCATACAACAGGTTACTTTGCAGAAATGTACTCTTCTCAAATACTCCAGAGCATGGCTCAATAAACTCACTAACACTGTACTTCCTTCTTTAGTATTCTTTTTGTGTGGCACTTCTCACCCATGGCTTTTACCTCCAGATATTAAAGAGCTTTTGTTTACATTCAACTGGGGCGGATATTTTTAAAGCTTTCTAAACAGTCAACTAGGAGTGTTTTAATCCACCCTGAACAGCTGCCTCCAATCAACATTACCATTAATGCAAATGATTTGTCATGATTCAAAAAACTCCAAAACACAACCCATGGCTTACTTACTAGTTAAAAAAGAAGACATGTAATTTTACATTTTAGAGACCTGGTGTTACCACTTTACCCAACTGATCAAAGCAGGATAAACTGACACAATAGGCTTTCTGAGGTGACAAAAAAGGAAGAAACCACTACCACCTATGAGTTAAGACAATTAGGCATAATCAGAATGTGTGACAGTCTACAAGCCTATACTCAAAGATGAGACTAAAAAACAATTACATACATGAATCTAGATTAAATATTACTTTTAAAAAAATCACAGTTCTAAGGAACATTAATGGGACAACTGGGAAATATAAAATGTTCTGAATATTAAAATTTTCATGGTATAATATTATAAGCAGTCAAAGTGATGTTGTTGTAATTAACCCAATTATCAATAAAAAGAAAGGAACAACGGAAGGCCAAACACTATAGGCATATCATTTAGGCAACTTCACTAGGAAGCTAAAGCATTACTACACTCCCCAGTGAGCCACTGATCTATTCCCAGTAGATTGCTGGGGAAAGGGACTGGACAGGGGGAGAATAGACACATGTCCAGTAAAGTTGAGGTGACGTTGGGAGGCACTTGCCTGTCAGTTACACATAGGAACAGGTCATTGGCCAAAAAAGGTTATGTCACTGCAAGAGCATGAAATTTAGGATATTTAATCCCCTAAACAAAGGAACTCACTCTCTTGTTGACCCCTGGCTTCCAGGGCTCTCGCCCCTGCTTCCTAGTATTCTGCTGTGTGGTCCACAGCCATGGGGACCCCATACACAATGAATGGACTAAACGGACTGTAACTAGCTTGATGCTGAACTGGACCCAGCTGTAACATGGAATGGAAACTGTGAACAATGGCTTTGCTTTTAGCTCTACTGAAATCCCAACTAGACTTCTTCTATGACTGGAATGGGACTTCAGAAACACAGGGATGTAATTCTATAAAAATGAAAGTCACTCATCCTCTAGTGCTAGAGAAAATTCTTTCTCATGATATTCTAAGGGCCCCACCCCAGCACTCACTGGGGAAAGGGATTCCTCAACTTCCCTAACAAAATTGTATATATACACAACAAAGTAAATATGGCAAAATAATAACTGTACTATTTAGGATAGATATGTTATATAGTATACATTGTAACATTCTTTACGTTTTTCTATAACTTTGAAGATTTTCATAATAAATTGGGACTGGGAATGTCAAAATATACCTACATAATGGAGAACTTCTCAAAGAGTGGTGCTTGTCTTTATTAAGGAAATAGAGATTGAAGGGGCTTTGTCCCATTAAAAGGGTGACTCAGTGGTAGTGTGAATCTGCTGCCTAGAACTCTCAGCCCAAACTAACCTTTTTCATTGAAGATGCTGCTTCCAGACCAACAGTTCAGATGAAATATCTTATTACTAGCAGCAGCGATATGAAACAATTTACACTGTGAGAGTTCCTGTCCCATTATCCAAGTCCTACAAAACAATCACTCCTAGGCTTCTTTTCCCAGTCACTGCTGTTATACTTGCTCTAGCTTAGCTCTTGCCTCTGAGAGGCCTACTTCTGAAATTCTTTTAACAAAATTTTCACCCTGGTAATCTATTATTGATAACTTTCAATGATTTCATTCAGAAATGGGCATTCTATCAAAATTTCAACTTAAAATGAAAACTGAACTCTGGCTGGTTTTGGCTTAGCGGTTAAAGCATCAGCCCTAGGGCCAAGGGCACATACCTTGGTTGCAGTCTGTCCCCAGCCCTGGTTGGAGTCCTGCGGGAGGCAACCAGTCGATGTGTCTCTCTAACATTGATGTTCTCTCTCTCTCTTCCTTCCTCCCACCCTATCTGAAGAAAATTGGTAAAACATGCTCAGGTGAGGATTAAAAAAAAGTGAAAACTGATCTGGTGCAGATCTGGATTCTGGTCTGTGTTCTCTTCTTCAGTAGCCCAGAATTGTGGAGAAACAGGAAGTAGATATATTCTTTATTGCACGCTGGGAGTATCACAATGAGTGTGTTTTGTACATCTATAAGGCTAGCCAGCTAATATAGGAAGTTTCTAATTTATGAGTCTACTGTAGTACAAATGTTAGTTTGTAAGACTATTATCAGGAAGTTGGTGAGGCATTTTTCCACATAAGCAAACTTCTAAAAGGAGGTAATGTTACCAGGATAGTGGACAAAAGACCAGATAGTTTAGAAAATACTGAATGATAATAGATTTTAAATAATATTTCCTTTTGAATATTAAGGTTCTAAGTTATTTCACTGGAGAAAGATGAAGATCTTAGCCATTTCCAGCATCAAGCAGAGGTAAGTCCTTGGGCAACTGATCATACACAAAGGACATTTGTAAACTGAGCATTGCAAGTTGAGGTTTGTCTATTTTTCAAGGTGTCATGTTCCTTGAAATCTACACACAATTTTATCCAGGAGAAGAATCTTATATCCAGGAAAATAAATAAACCCATATTAATGGTCACAGTTAAGATAATCACAATTTGTCAAGGACTTTGTTGCCCAGGCTTCTTTGGAGTCTCTCTTATTCAAGATCTTTAGCCTACGTGAATTGCAGAACTTCCTTTCAGAGTAATGTTTCTAAATCTCAGGATTCACTTGGTGCTTTTAAATCTAATTATTATTGAGCCAGAGTACTAAACCCTTTGGGTAATATTTCAAAGTTAATCTTGTGAATTTGGAAAGAGAAGGGGTTTTGATTTTTGCCTTCATATTTGAAAATCCTAAAAAGAAAAATATAAAAATATTATGCTCTGTATTTCTCTCAGCCACAGTCAGTATAAAACTGAGTATCTTCTCAACAGATGATGGCCATATAACTAAAAATTAATTAGACAACTTGCTTAAATAATACAATTTTATTAAAGGGCAGTCTGGTATCATCTATCAACATTTTAAATGCCTGAACCACATGAACCAGTAAACCCATTGTAGGGAAGAATCCCATACATACAACCCCACAAAGGTATTAGTACACAGATCTGTACTGCAACACTGTTTGCAATAATAAAATGCTGGAAACTTCCGAAATGTCCTTCAACAGAGGACTGGTTAAATACATAATTGTACATCCATCTGGTGGACTAGTGTGCAACTCTTAAAAGAAGGTATAAACAGAGACCTTTACATGATAGATCTGCATATTAAAAATTTATATACATCTATACTCTATTAAGTGGAAAGGCAGTTTACAGAATAATATATATTTAGTAATCCCACTTTGTAATTCTTTTTCTATGATTAACTTTTTTGGACATTATAATAAAAAAACCCACAATAATTTTTATAAGCAATTTTCTGAAATTACTAACAAATATGACTTACATTTAATATCTCCATACATATGGCTGATTGTAAATCTATCTTTGCCTTCAGGTGCCCAAGCAATTCTTTCTGCCATGAGGTATAGAGCTCCATCCTGCTTCTTTTGACGCACCTTCTTTACAATCAGCAAAACTTCTTCAGATGAAGTTGCCATGATGGCTAGAAGGTGCTAATTGAGACAAAAAGATTTCACATCTCAGTTAGGGTCTGATTTATTGACTTCTAGATTGTCTTCCAAATCTGAAGCCTTCCAAATCTGAAACCTAGACTAATAATGAGGAAAAAGTCTCCTCCCTCATTCAAAGTTGAAGATATGTACCAGAAGATACAAAGTTGTACGGCATTATTCCTTAAAATAAAATTTCATTTATCTCATATCATAGGTGTGAATTTACATAACAGTTTATAACACTTGGCAGCTTTTAAACCATTCCCACATATATTAATCAGAGTTTTTTCAATTTATTTTTATTTTCCCCAGTTTTATTCTTAAATCTTAAATGATTTGACTACAAATATGTGTCTTTTATGTAATCCATGTTTAGAATTGTAGAACTTCAGAATTACACAGGAGCCTAACAAATATTTAGTTCAAATTGTTTCAAGTGAAACAACTAAGGGCCACAGGGTTTGTGCGACCATCCCAGAACCACTCTCAGAGCTGAAACTACACCTACATTTCCTAATTCCTGGTCTAGGTTTCAGGCATGCCTGAAAATAAAACTAAGTTAAAATTTCCCCCCACCTTTTATTGTACAAAATGTTATAGACAACTGCACTGCATTTTGGACTGCAATAGTTAAATATGGCTCAGTGTTTAGAGCATCAGCCCCCAGACCAAAGAGTTACGAGTTCAATTCCCAGTCAAGAGAATGTACCTTGGCTACAGGTTTGTCCCAGACCCTGGTCGTGCAGGAGGCAACCAATCGATGTGTCTCTCACATCGATGTGTTTTTCTTTCCCTCTCCCTCCCTCCCACTCTAAAATATTCTCGTGAGGATTAAAAAAAATAGATTATCTCCCTGATTATAACCTGTTGGTTTTCTTGATTATCACTATGTGCAAAGCATTAAAATAGCAGCTGAGTAAACATGTAGAAGTAGGGTTGCCAGATAAAATATAAGATGCTCCAGTAAATATGAATTTCAGATAAATTGTTAGTATAACTATGTCCCAAATATTACATATACTAAATCATTATTTGTTGTTTATTTAAGATGGAAATGTAACTGGGTTTCGTGTATTTATTTGCTACATTTGACAATTTTTTTTTTTTATCCTCACCTGAGGACATTTTTCCATTTTTTGTTCAGAGTTGGGAGGGAGAGAGAGAAACATCGATGTGAAAGGGACACGTCGAGTGGCTGCCACCTGCACGACCAACCAAGGCCAGGGACAAACTGCAACCGAGGTACGTGCCCTTAGCGGGAACCGAAGGCCGACATTCTAACTGCTGCCGGCCAGGGCAACAACTTTTTTTTTTTTTTTTAAATCCTTATCAGAGGATATTTCCCCATGATTTTCAGATAGGGTGGGACGAAGAGAGGGAGGGAGACAAAGAAACATGGATGTGAGAGAGACACATCAATTGGATGCCTCCTGCACAACCCTAACCAAGGCTGGGGATCTAATCACAACAGAGGTATGAGCCCTTGACTACAACTAAACCTGAGACTCTTTGGTCTGAGGGCCAGAGCTCTAACTGCTGAGCCTAATGGCCAGGGCTACATTTGACAACTCTTTGTAGAAGATCCTTATCTTGAGCAAACAATGCATTTTCATAATAAAGGCATACATAATAAGTGCAGTAATACAAGCAATTAGGTGAGAAAAGGCTCTCCACTACCCACCACAGTAGACTACCTGGAAGAGATACCAACTGCAGTTCCTAAATTTTGATTGCTGGATAGGTGGTTTAGTGTGATGGTTTTGAAGTTCAATTGTCCTGAGTTAAATGCCAAATTCACTGCTCACTAGCTGTGTAACCTTGGGTAAATTAATCTTCCCTTATTATATGAAATGAGGTTACTAATATATGTTTAACTAGATTGAGGATCAGAGATAGCATATGCACCTGGAGCACAGAAAGCACTCTCTAAATGTTATTATCTACTATTACATACATGGTGGCCCTGGCTGGGTAGCTCAGTTGGTTAGAGCACTGTCCTAATATGCCAAGGTTGCGGGTTTGATCCCGGTCAGGGCACATAAAAGAAGCAACCAATGAATGCATAAATAAGTGGAACAACAAATCAATGTTTCTCTCTCTAAAAATCAATAAATAAAAATTAAAACAAAACACAACACACCACATGGCAAAGACAGTATTTGTAATGGACATATTCACACATGAATGTTATGCACTAATAGCATTACTAAGTAATTTTATTTTCACGATCTATTTACACTGTACAAACACTGCTGAAAAACACCCTATAAGTTCAGTATGTTACAATGTATTTACTTTAAAAATATACTCCTTTATAAAAGGTTTGCAGAATATTGTCATGCCAACATGTGACAAAATTCTCAAAGGATGTCACCAATTCCGATAACAAGAACGCTTCCAAGTGTTGTCAATTTTACAACACAAGTCATCAATTGAGTTTTAAATAAAAAATGAATTCTACAGTGAAAAGTCTCTGCGACAACACTTATTAGTTAATTCACATGTACTTTCATGGAGATGATGTTTCACAATAATTTACAGTATCAACTTTTCTGCCAAAAACCCACACAAAAACTATTTCAGTAAGTTTCAAAGTGCAAAAATTCTTGTCATTTGCTGTTTTTCTTCTCTGTTGGTTCTCCAGGTTCTACTTTGTGCTTTTTAGAAGTTTGCTCATCTTTTTCATTTGATTCCACCGTCTCCTCCCCTTCTAAGAGAAGCCTAGCTTTCTTATTGTTCCCTAGGACATCATCACCATTGTCCTCATACATGTTAGTCCATTTTATTGCCATATCCAGCTCCGGAGAGGAAGGTTTCTTCTTAGTAGTGTAGGTCTCCAGAGGTGGTGCATAGTTTTGACTTCTATATTTTGAATTCCTCTGGAGGCTCGTCCTTGCCGAGTATCTCTCCCAGTCTGTTGATCAGATTGCAGGGAAAGGCTTGGCTAGTCACACTCCAGAATAGCTTGCGGGTCCTGGCAGGCACTTCTCTATTTTGTTCCCAGTCACCCACTGACTTTGCAGGATTTGGGGCTCTTAAACTGGTCTCCTCCAGCTAGCTGTTTTCCTCTTCAGAGGATCCTGAGCTGTTGCTCCCATAAGCCTCAAAATAGTTCAGAGGGTCCTTCTCCATAGTTGTCATGACAGCTATGTGCCATGACCCAAGATTGAGAATTTAATACTTAGTACTTCAGATGCTATTTTCCTCATCTTTTAACAATCAGATGTCTTCAATTGCTCCCCATATGTTGGCTGAAGAATCATTTGTATAGATGGCTAATGTGTTACCTAGAGAAACAGCCTTGAGTGCCACCCCTCCACTTTTCTCCTAAATCCTGGGAATCTTAAATACCCAACCCAAATACTAGAGGCTTAAGTGTGAATATCTGGAATATGAGGCCAAAAAGAAAGGATTTTGGGGAAAGATGCCATGATTGATAGTGATGTCTACCATGGGTTGGGATGGGGTAGCAAAATTGCCATATATGCCATTTCTGAAGTTATGACTATTTTTCAACCCCCCAAAGCATTTTGACTGGAGGTGAAATAAAATAGGAGCAATGAAATATTTATTAGATCTGCCATAAGCTATTCAAAATTACTGAGAACTTATATTTGGACATAATGGGAAAGTAAGCATTAGGTAGAGTGTCAGGCATTAATAATAATAGAAATCAGCAATTCTTATATAGAGATAAATAAAAATGAATTACTTCTTTTTTTTAAATCCTCACCTGAGGATAATTTCCTATTTATCTTCAAGTAGAGAGAGAGAGAGAAACATTGACGTGTGAGAGGGACACATGGACTGGTTGTCTCCTGCACAACCCTGATCAGGGCCGGGATGAACCGCAACCGAGGGTACATGCCCTTGGCTGGAATCAAACCCGGGACTCATTGGTCCACGGGCTGATGCTCTACTGCTGAGCCAAAGCAGCCAGGGCACGAATTACTTCTTAAACCATCACCTCCTAGGATTAATGAAAAAAATCATGGATTAAAAAACTAATATTCCTTATTCATTCAGTGATTTAGAAATAAAAGAATACAAGTTAAAGAAAAGAGTAAAATCTTAATTTTTCTGAAGTTGATGACCTGAATTTTGAGTAGTTATATCTTCCCTAACAGGCTACCCAAGAATGGAAAGGATAAGGGTCAGTGTGAATACATTGATTCAATAAATGTGTACTTAACCAACGAGTCTATGGTTATCCAAAGATGAATGTCTGTCAATTTTGATTTCTGCTTTCAAAGAGCTTCCAGACTAGTGAGCAAGATGTATGTGTGTGTGTTACAAATTAGAGTGTATGAAGTCCTAAAAGGGAGATAAAAAAATGTTCTGAATTAGGACTCAGTCTGTTTCTTCACACAGGAGGCTTAGTCAAAGGCTTGTCACAAACATTTTTTTAGGGCAATTAAAATTTTTTTTATATACTCAACAAACCAACAAAATGCATAGGTCTTAGGTGTTCTATTTGATGCATTGTATACAACCCGTACACCATTACCCAAAATAAGATAACATTTCCATCACTCCTGAAAATTCCCTCATGTTCCTTTCCAGTCAATTTTCTTCCTCTCACCCTCCAGCAACTACTTTCTGATTTCTATCAGTACAAATTAGTTTATATCTGTTCTAGGGTTTCATTTAAACAAAATCATGCAGTATGTATCCTTTTTGTCTCTGGCTTTTTGTTTAACCTGATTTTTTGTAATTCACCATATATTACATGTATCATTAGTTTATTCTTTTTTTATACCTAAGTTAGTTATGAATTGGGTCTTGAATGACACTTTCGGTAGAGAAAGGAAAATAGGCATTACAGGCAAAGGAAGTGCTTTGGGGCAAAGACTTCAGACTCTAGGAATGGTAAGCAAACTGTACTGGATTTAGCATAAAGTTCATCATGGGAATCAGTGGGCTATAAAGTTGGATGGTTAAGACAGAGGCAGATAGTGGAGAATACCATTCTATGTGGTAGAGAATAGAAAACCTTTAAA